AAAGGATTCCTTTTTCCCCACAGCCCCTCCAGCATTTATTGTTGGTTGATTTCTTGATGATCGTCATTCTTTCTGGGGCGAGATGGAATCTTAGTGTTGTCTTAATTTGCATTTTTCAAATGACTAATGATGCTGAACATTTTTTTATATATTTATTTGCCATTTGTTAAACTGTGTATTTAGAACATGCTCCACTAGCAGTGCTATAAATGCCTCTATATTCTGGATTGTACCAAATAGGCACTTTTCAAACATGAATTATAGACACTTATTATCTTTGAAATGAATTATAATGTCTCTTGAATTTATCGTCTTTTACAGGGGCAGAAAAGTGGTAAAATTATCTTTAAACTCTATTCACTCTATTGTTGCTGCTCACATTGTTAAGCAAAAGCAACTAACCTGAAAATAACCTAGAAACACTCTGTATTACTTCTGTCTTCTGAACAGTTACCTCTGAACTTGTAAATGTTAGGGACTTTTTTATTCCTTTCACACTTTATTTGTAATTTTCACAGAAAATTACTATTTTTCTCTAAAAAGCTAGGGAAAAAAGAAATATGAAATAATAAATAGTGGCAACAACTTAAAAGTTAAATAAAGAAACATGTGGACATTATTACCAGAATTTGTCTCAAGGAGGAAAAATAAGATGATAAGGTTTTAATTTTTTTCTCCTTTTATCTTCTTGTTTATATTTCTTTTTTCCTCTCCAATGATCATGACATTTTTTAGAAGATTAAAATAAAGGAAATAAGCATAAAATAATTTTGAAAGAATAAAATGAGAAATTCAATTACATTAAAATTTATTTTTAGTGAAGTAACCTGTCTAATATTTTAAATTCTGTATATAAGGGAGATGAACATCTACACGTGGTGATGTATCAAACCTGGACTAGATATTTATATTATTCCAACTAGTATGCTAGGTGGCTTTAATATTTATTATATTTTATTACATTTCCAGTAATAAAGATATTTGAAAAAAGTACAAATGTGCTGATTCTGTGAGTGAACAGATAAAATGGAGTTTTAAATGTTCAGCATCTTCAGCTGAGTGCAAAATGTAAACCAAAGCTACATGAAAATCCCATTTGATCCCAGGCAGAATGGCTATCAGAAAGGATGCAAAAACAGAATAAGCGCTAGGGTGGTTACTGGTGAAAAAGGAACTCTTATACACTGCTGATGAGAGAAATTAGTACAGCCACTATGGAAGTCAGTATGGAGGTTCCTCAAAAAAATAGAACTAGCATATGATCCAGGTGTGTTTTAATATATATTAAAATATATATTTTATATATAAATATTTTTAAAATTTTTTATTAGTACGTGTTTACAGTATACAATGTTGGTGCTCACTATTATTTCGTGAGCTGTTGAGGTCCTATTCAAATCATCTCTGCCAGTGCCTATAACTTTGAGTGTTTCCCCTGTGTGTTCTTCCAACGGTTCCAAAGTTTTAAGTCTTATACACAGGTATTCGATCCTACGAAGTGATTTTCCGACACGGTGAGAGGCAGGGATCTAGTTTCAGTCTTCGACATATGGACGCAGTTTTCCCAGTACCAGTTCTTAAGAAGCCTGTTTTCTCTTTAGCCCCTTCCAACAAGGATCTGATCACTGTAGTTAAATGGGTTTATTTCTGTGTTCTCTATTCTATCCCATTTCTAGATGCCAAAATAATGCAGTCTTGGGTATTATGGCTTTGAGGTATAATTTGAAATCAGGTATTAAATGATACCTGAAGCCCTTCTCTTTCTTCTTAGGATTGCTTTGGCTATTCTGCCTTCTGTGTTTCCATGTGAATTTGGGAATATATTTCTAGTTCTACGAAAAATGCCATTGGAAATTTGATGGGGATTTATTGAATCTATAAGAAGCTTTCATCACTGTAGCCATTGATTGTTCATTGCATTTTTAACTAAGCACTGTATATAACAAAAGTCATGGCTTTTAAAGAGTTGGACACCGAGTATTGGGATCATGACATTGATGTGCTTCAAATGACACTGATGTGCTTCAGATGACATTGATATGCTTCAAATATTAAAGCCTCTGACCCTGGAGAAGTGAACTTCTCACCATGATAAAAAGTCAGCAGCCTTCCTTGTCCCTATATCAGAGCACATAAGAGGTCGGCTGTTACACACCCCAAAGAAGTTCACCATTGTTGTGGTATGACTTGGCTGGTGTGTAGCTTGACCTGGCTAGCATTTAGGGACGTGTGTCTTAGAGCAGAAATGAGTACAAAAGAATGTATAGATGTGGGAAAAGATGGAAGCATCAGGAATTAGTTTACAGGAAAAAAAACAGCTGATCCTAATGCACTAGAAGTGTAACTGAGGTAAAGCTAAATAAACCCTCTACATCCATTCTTTTAGTTGACTTTAAACATTATTGACTTTGGAGGTCACAAAGCTGAGCAATAGATTATGAATCATCCACCAGCTTTCCTGTACGAGGCACCTGTGATAGCAGCAACCCAAGGAGTGGAAACTGTCCTTCTGTGAAAGCTGTATTTCACTCGCTTCTCCAGGAAAATTTGACTTTCCACTGTCTTCAACTGAAGAGTTGCTCCTCATGGGAAAGGGAAATAAAGGGAGTGCTAAGACTTCATAATGTTTTCACAGGTCTAGTGCTAAGCCCGTACTAGACCACTCCCTCCAACCACATGTTCACAAAGAAAGTGTTTTTCTAGGGCTCTTTGTGCTCTGCCGCACACACACATGGCACAGAGCTTGCCAGCACTGGGTAATATGCAGAGGAAAACTGAACAGTCTTAACATGACCAGCCCTGCCTCTGAAGCCTGTGATATAGCGAACTGTAAGACACTGAAAATTGTAATGATGGGGGTAAAACAGCATGGCTTTTATCTAAGTCCCGCTGTGATTTTATCTCTATTCCTAGGGCGCTGAGGCATTCTAGTGTGGCCCTTAGCACTGGACCTGTCAAAGAATTATGGCCCTTCCCCACTGGTGCTGCTGACACCAGCCAACCGTGATAGATTGTAAGCCTTGGAATTCAGCCAATGAATTTGAAGGTTAGCTGCTTTCCATTGTTGGGCATTCAAAAGTCCTCTTCCCTGATGCTCCACATACCTGCTGCCTCATGCGAGAGTGTACTTGTGCCCTTCTGCAGAAGTAAAAGCTTGCCCTGTCAGGATTTCTTCATATGTGAGTGCTTTATTATTTGCACTGGCAAATTGAGCCTAGGGGCTTATTTCCAACAATATGGACACTCATATCAAAAGCACGTTTTATTCATTACATATATCTCTGCCATTTTACATATGTGACCTGCACTTCCTGCTGATCTGCATCTTCATTTTTGTTGACCTAGCAGTGACTGTATAAATTAGATCTCTCTGGGTCAGTTCATGAATGCCTGACTCATTCTTTTTGTTTACTACAAACACTTCACAAAAAGAATGTTCTTTTCTTTTTTCTAATATTAGATATTTGTGTTATTTCTCTTTTCTTTTACACTTCACATAATGCTGATCTGTCTGTAATCTTTATGCACCATGATTTATATTTCTGTGCTCTGAATTTCTAAAGTAGGACTTTTAGAATTAATCTTTGGGGGTAAGGATAGATTAATAGAGACTGGATAAAGTACACCAACACACAATCAGATAGAAAGAATGGTGTATGGTGTTATACAACAGAGAGGGTGACTATCGTTCCCAAAATCATGCCATATTTTATGAAGGCCAAAAAGAGGGAAGCATGTACATGTACCAACAATGCGCAGTGAATGTAATCATTGTATGCCACAAACATGGACTAAAATGATAGTAACTAATAATCATAAAAATAGTAATGATAAAAATGGGGGAAGAGATCTACAGATGGATGGAGAGAGGACAGCAGGGAGGGGAAAGGGAATAAAAAGAATCAAGATATGTTAAGTATCTCACTTACTCCTTAAAATGAATATAGACATGGTGAACAGCAAACATGTACTAATAGAAAGAAAGAAAGAAAGAAAGAAAGAAAGAAAGAAAGAAAGAAAGAAAGAAAGAAAAGAAAGGAAAAGAAAGAAAGAAACAAAGAAAAGAAAAGAAAAGAAAGAAAGAAAGAAAGAAAGAAAGAAAGAAAGAAAGAAAGAAAGAAAGAACCTTGAAGATTCTAAACATAAAGAAAAGACCAGAAGGTGAAAAGTTAATTACCATGATTTAATCTGTGCATGCTGTTATGCATATGTTGAAATATCACTAAATCCCATTACCATGTGCAATTAATATATAATACTATGTAATGAGGGGAGCCATATAAATGTACTGTTATAAATGGAAATCATCCAATTTCTTAATAGAAATGGAGCCATTCATGTGATCAGCAGAAAATGAATGTACATGCATGAATAAGAACCTCACCAAGATTAAAATCTATTAAGGTATTGTTTACAATAAAAGGTATAGCATTGGCATTTTAATTTTGCCTCATTTATTGAGCAATAGGAGGTTAAATGATTTTCCCTGTATTTTTGGGTAATTAGCATTCCTATCACTGTCAATTCCTGCTCATTTGTTGGCACATTTACCAACACTATTTGTATTTTGCTGTAAATTTGAGGCTGTTCTTGGAGAGTGGGAATAGGATCTCATCACTGTCACATGCACACAAATACTTCCTACCATTCATTATTTCACTGTTGAAATTATATGTAACATTTTGATCTTTCTACATAATTTGCTGTTTGCAAGCCTGGATTTAAAAATTTACACACTCAAAATTGTGCAAATATTCACCTACATTTGCTTCTAGTACGTTTTTATGCTTGCACATTTAACTCATCTCCATCTTACTGTGAAACACGCATTTCTTCCACAGAACAATACAGACTCAGACAAATATTTAAGTATTTCTGCACTTCTCAATTATTCTGTGAACAGGCAGCACCAGGACTCACTCGCAAGCTTCGATTCAGGCTAATATCCTTTTCTCTGCACATGTTGCCCCGTCAGTGGCACCGCACTAATAGCTATTACCTCACCCACCGAGCACAGACAGCTTCCTTTTCACCTGTCTCTTGAATGCCTCTTTCACCTCCTTGTTCCTCAAGCTGTAGATGAGGGGATTCAACCCAGGGATGACCACAGTATAAAACAGAGAAATCACTTTATTGATACCCAGAGACGAGCTCGAGCTAGGTCGGACATAGATGAAGAAAAGAGTCCCATACAACACTGAGACTGTGGCCAGGTGGGAGGTACACGTGGAGAAGGCTTTCCACCTCCCGTGGGCAGTCTGGATCTTCAAGATGGCCACTGTGATCCATACATAGGACACCATGATGATCGCGCCACTGAGCACTCCTATAGCTCCAGCAAAAACAAAAAGCACCAAATTAGTGATCCCAGTGTCAACGCATGCTAAGGAAAGCAAAGGGGAAATATCACAGAAAAAATGATTGATTATGTTTGGGCCACAGAAGGGTAAGGAAAAAGTCAAAATTGTATGGGTCATGGTGCTTATAATAGCTATGGCGTAAGGCCCTATAACCAGCTGCACACAGACCCGCTGGGACATGATGAGTGTGTACAGCAGGGGCTTACAGATGGCTGTACACCGATCATAGGCCATGGCAGCCAGGAGGAAACACTCTGTTGCCACAAAGAGACCAAAGAACCACATCTGAGCAGCACAGCCCACGAAAGAGATGCTTCTCTTCTCTGCAAAGATATCGCGCAGTGTCCTGGGGGTAATGGAAGAGGAGGAGCAAGCATCTACAAAGGACAAGTGACTAAGAAAAAAGTACATAGGCGTGTGGAGTCTGTGATCGCGCCATATGAGAGTAATCATCCCCAAGTTACCCCCCAGAGTGATGAGATACACAAAGAGAAGCAAGACGAAAAGGGCGATCTTCTGATGGAGATGACCTGTGAGGCCTAAGAGAAAAAACTCCATCACTGCTGTCCGATTCTTCCCTTCCATTGGGGTTGTTTGGAATCTGTCATAAAAATAAAGAGAAATATTTTGTTACAAAAAACAACTATGGGTTGGGAGTGGTGGTGCACACCTGTAATCCCAGCACTTGGGAGGTTGAGACAAGAGAATCATTCTGAGCTCGAGACCAGCCTGGGCTACAAAGTGAGCTCAAAGCCAGCCCGAACTACATAGTGAGACCCTGTCTCAAAAAGACAAAACTAGAATAAAATAAAATAATAAAATAAAATAAGCACTAATACAAGTGTATTGGGAGATTCTCAATACCCTACCATCACAAAAAGACAGATCAACTAGACAAAAAGTCAATAATTAAATATTAGAACTGGCCAGGCATGGTGGTGCATGCTGTAATCCCAGCACTTGGAAGGCTGAGTCAGGAGGATTATTGTGAGTTCGAGGCCAGCCTGGGCTATAAAAGTGAGTTCAAGACAAGCCTGAACTGCCTAGTGAGACCCTTGTCTCAAAAACACACACATAAAAAAACAACTGTGAACATCTATAAATAGTATTTAAACCCAGGACAAATTATTTAAACACTTCTATAAAAGACAATTTTAAAATATTATTGAGCTGGTGGGTTAGATAAGATTCCTAGTGGTTAGGTCTGTTTTACTTTGGGGTAATTTAATATTGATTTATGGGTTCCATACCTACTGCCCTCAAGTTTTCCAATGTGATCTAAAACTCCTCCTTGTTATAAGATTGTTTCAAAAGGGAGTCACTGTCCACAATTCATCTTACAAATTCATCTAATAAAACCCACTTGAGAACACTTTTGAAGGGGAGTACTGTAAGCCAATGGGATGTCCATGTCCACATAGTAGACAAGGAAAAGCTAAGCAGGGGATTATTATCTTTATTGAAGTATCAATAATTTCATGATGTTAATAAGACATAATTTCTGTATGTATTTCCTGTTCCCCCTTACAAAGGGATATGGAAATGATCAAATGCACACTTGACAAAAAGTTTCTCATTCTTAAGATTAAGGCAAATAAACAATAGTTGCTCATGTTCATAAGGAAACGCCCTCAGGGACAACAAGATTCACTCTATGATAGGTTTGAAGTAGAATAGGCATCAAGACAAGCATTATTCAGTAGAAAAGAAAGCAAGTCAAACTTTCCCCACTGCATAACTCCAGTAAAAGAATAAAAAGCCAGAAGAGAACGTAAGATGCCTGTCTTGCAGCTCAGGCAGCAGCCTGTGATGAAAATTAGACAAAAAATTAAGTATTGCCTGAGCTGAAATAATATAATTATTTTATAAAATGTCATGGATTTTACATAAACTTCATTTAAGGCATTTATTCTGAAAGCAGTAATACTAACATATTCAGGAAATGTCAAATGTATAATATTTCAAGCAGGAAAAACCCTCAAGAAAATATTTTTAGATGATTCATTCATCAAATGAGGAAAAATATAATTCTCCTTAAAACTCCTAGAAGATGATGATTTTGTAAGATAACTAAAATGAAAATATCTGACTTGTACAACACAATCAATGAATGTCCTCTGAAAATAAAAGCAATATCAACTCAAGATATATAATAATTATTTTGGGGACTCAGTTTATAGTATTTTCAAGCAGTAAATAATAATTCCATCATCTCTGTTTGTCATTATGTTATCCTTATAACTATTGTTTGATTAATGTTGTGTGCAGTGCATTTTTAGTAGTCACAAAATCATGGATTCTGGAGTTTATTATGGGCACTATGCCATGGCAGAAGTATTTCATTTAAATTCATCCAGATATTGCTGCATTGCTGTTTGGGAGTAAGAGGTCATACAGATTGGGTTGATTTTTAGTGCAATCACTATTTGCTTATTTATTTAATGTAAGTCATATTGCATCTTCTTTAAAATGCAGAGGATGACTGTTATGCTTCTTTAATAACAAACATTTTGCAATCTTAGAATTCTTCAAGAATATCATCTCTCTTTTCAAAGAATTATTTCTCTTTTTGAATTGATAAAAATTGTATATATTTCTCATGTGTGATATAACGTTTTGAAATATGTGTACATTGTGAAATGGAAAATTTAAGCTTACTTCACATTCTTTTTCAGGTGAAAACACTTAAAATCAGCAATATTCAAGACTACAATGCATTCTTACTAGCTATCACTATTTTACTAAAACAGCAGTCTATTCACTTCAGAAAAAAATCTTTCAGACAGTTGTTTAGTCTGAAGATGATGTGAACAAAACACCAACATCTGCTCTTTTAAGAGAGCCTGGGGTGTGAGGTCCCAGTCCCAAAGTTCAAAGTCTCTACCAGATTTCAAAAACTTCACATGCTCCAAGGTACAGCATACTCACTTCTTGAAAGATGTCCTTATATGTGTCCCTTAACTCCATCAAAACAAATCATCACTCTTTAGAAGTAAGGATGGAAGAGCCAGCTCTCTTCATGGTGATGGCTACTGCAAGGCATGTGGTGAAGAAGACAAAGCCCAACCTTGACGGGCCTGGGTGCAAAGGCACCATCCTTGGCCTGTGCATTGATTCACATTGTGCAGAATAATGGACATTTTTTTTAGAGATTTCAATAACGGAGAGCCAGGTCCCCTAAGAGCTTAAACCTCAAGGGCTTTGACCTGAGGGGACAAAATTAAAACCATCCTAATTACATTGGGGCCAACTCTCAATTTCTCTATCTTATCTCAAAGAGAGGATTTCTAATAAAAATAACACGTGTGTGTGTGTGTGTGTGTGTGTGTGTGTGTGCATGTGCCCTGAATCCTGGAGATACATCATTTAGGCACAAATCTCAATTCCACAGTTTACTGATGATGTCAACTTGAGCAAGTTTCTAAGCCTACCTGTAGCTCAACCCTAGTCTCTAAAATAAGGGAAGCAATTGATATTGCCAAGATTCACTGAAGTTATTGCTTCAACATTTAAAATGTTTATTTAAAGCATTTATAATATCATTCAACCCAGAGTAATTTCTACAGATATTTATTAACACTAGGGCTCTACATCATAGTTGGAGAGATAATATATACACATAAAAATAGAAGAGTAGTTCCAACTAGCAGTTACTATCTCTAGGTAAAAATAAAAAGTAGTAATTGAGCTCTGAAGAAAACCAGAGTAGATAAGAAATTTTCTCAGATGGAACTGTCAAGAAAGGTAAGTGAAATTTTTTTTTAAATAATAATACTATCAAGAGGAAAACCATCCCAAGAAATACTAATTAGATGAGCAGAGAAGCAGGGAGAAAAGTAAAGACTTTGTGCAGATGGGGGAGTCACACGAGAGAGAAGAAACTGTAGAGCCGATGACACATGTTCAGCTATGTCAGTGGTGAGCTTTATTCGTTATCCCATCAGGAGCAGCTTGTGTCACTCTCTACAAACTCCCACATTTCCCCAGTTGCTGATTGTAACTGCTAGATATCTATCTCAGAAAAGGAGAAGGCTTTTTGTAGTTATATTAACATCAGACTAAACATATGTTAAGGAAATTTACCAAGGTGAAGAATGTAATTCCAGGCTGGGGATTCAGCTCAGCAGCACAGCATCTGCCTGGCAAGTGCAAGGTCATGAGTTCAATTCCTGGTATCAGAGAAAAACCAAAAAAAAAAAAAAAAAAAAGAATGTAATTCCATGATGACACTGCAGTCAACGTATCAAAAAGATGTACCATTCTCAATATTTATAAACCTAAAAGCAAAGCCACAAAGTAGACAAAGCAAAGATTGTGTGTCTCCAAAGAGAAACAAATCCTCAAGAGCTGAACATTTAAATATTATTCTCTCGATAATGATAGCACATGTCAACAAAGTATGAGTGAATATATTGAAGATGTAAACACTATAAACACAAAAAATAATATTTACAGAGCACATCCCAACTGACAACACCCAAACTGAAGAGAAACTGTCTGAGCGTGAGCAACGTGGGAATGCCTTCCTCATTCTGTTCATTTTAAATATGTAAAAAGACACACCCCAGAGATAAATCCCACGAATATAAACAAAGTCAGAAAGTCTTCAGAAATTCTGATTCTTTTCAAGGAAGGCTTTGACGTCTCACTTCAGTTCTCATTTAGGACTAACCCTGTAAAGAAACCTTATTAACGTAAAGACTATGAAAAAACATTCAAGGATTTTTTTCAAGGTCATGAAGGGATTCACACTATAGTGAAACTGTATAAGGAATGTTGGCTTGCTAAAGAAAAGCATTATGAATATAAATAATGTAGTAAAGTCTTCAGTTGTTTCACATCAAATACAAGAAATAACTCACACTAGAGAGAAGCCCCATGAGCATAAGTCATTTGCAAATGCCTAGAAATTTCTATTACTTTCTAATTCAGGAAGGTATTCATACAGTTCATATGTTCCAGGCCAGAAACCAGAATTCTTATGCTAATTTGAAGCTTTTACTGACAAATAACAGAAGATCTTACAGAAAACTGCACATATACTAGGTGTATTGCTCAGCGAGTTATTACAAAATCAGTAAAAACATGTAACCACAATCCCCACACAAACTTCAGGATCACCACTATCTACATTTTTGTGTGACCCTATCCTTTGTTAAGTGAGTATGTGGTTTATAAATTTTTATTGCTGGTAGTTTTCTGTCGTACGAATATTTCAAATATTTCTCTTTATTTTATCACTAGGGATTCGAGTGATTTCCAGTTTTTGACATGTAAGAGTTTTTCTTCAGTGAACATCCTGTTCTATCTAGTTTGGCAAAGGTGAGCTTGCATTTCTTTGAGAATATGTCTGGGAGTCACACTGTTTAAGTGAACTTTCAAACTAAAATTGTACCAGGTAGAGTGAAATGAACAAGGAAAACTTTATTCAGAACAATTACATTAAAGGGGTGATACCTGAATTTAGCTTTACTAATACAATGTACAGAAGAGGTTAATACTAGTTAATACTGAGGCTGTTGGGAAGGACAAAAGGACAGTTCATGTCATTAAACCATCTGCATTTGCTAACTGCCAAAAATTAA